TAGGAAACAGCAGTTCCAGGAGAGCTGCAACTATCCCTATCAGGGCTAATGGAGCCGATTCTTGTACTATGTTATCCGATTCAACTATCGGCCCCGGCTCACCTGTGAAATCTGGAAGAAATGGAATGTCTGTTTGGCTTGACGGGCTTAGGAAAAGCAATGTTGTCTCTGTGTCTGGAATACCCGAGTATTCATACAAGTACGTTTATTTTGAAAGTTATTGTACTTATTCATCATGGTAGTTGGTTTTGAGTTGTATTGATTTTAACAAAATATTTTTCTTTAATTTCATGTATATGTGATTATGTGTCAAGAAAATATGTTAGTAATTGGTTTGTTTTGTTATATTTTATATGATAAATGATTTAACAGCTGCGGGAAGTTGTTCTTGTGGTCCATTCATAAATAAACTTTGCTTAGGTTTTTCACGTTGTGCCCCAAGATAGCTTGATGGGGATTTTCAAAGTATTCCAGTTTTGGAATCTGTCAAGTTGTGTTTGTTTTCAGTAAAAGTGAGCATTCTTGATGAGAAACTAACTCGATTCCTTGTAGGGCTATAGTTTTTCAGTATCAGGCAACTGCTATCCCTAAAATCGAGCTAATATCCCGAACTTAAGAATGCGTTTGAGACCTTAATACTTTCATTCATGCTATAGCAAACTAGTAGTATAGTTGGGTGGTTTGAGGTATGAATGTGTATATTTTGCATGAATTTTTCCTATTTTGTTAATTTGTCGATGTTGTTATCGATACAGGGATTTGCAACGAGCAACTTACAATTTTACAGCACTAATAGGACAAGGAGCCTTTGGTCCGGTGTATAAAGCTCAGATGTCAACTGGTGAGATTGTTGCAGTGAAAGTGCTTGCAACTGATTCTAAGCAAGGAGAGAAAGAGTTCCAGACTGAGGTAGGGATGTTTAGTAGTTTGCTTTTTATTGCTCCTTTCTACTCTCTCCTGCTTGTTTAATGTTTCATCCTCGTAACATTTCAGGTTATGTTGTTGGGAAGACTGCATCACAGGAACCTTGTAAATTTGGTCGGATATTGTGCAGAAAAGGGCCAGCATATGCTTGTCTACGTGTACATGAGTAAAGGCAGCTTGGCTTCGCATTTGTACAGTAAGTATGCTGTCAACTCTCTCCGTAGAAAGGTTAGTATAATTTTGAATGGCCAAAACTGGAAACTGTTCTATGGACTTGTATATCAGCTGGTCTCGCTCATCTCTACGTTCACATTATTTGCAAAACAAAGCTTTTCTGGAGGTTTGGCATTCAATATTTTCTTAGTACATGCTAGGCATCCGACATAAAACCGACTGTTAATCGGTGGAGAGGTCCAACTTGAAAATAATACCGCAGGAAATCCAGTACTTACTATTTGTGGAACATCATCAGCACAACATTTAACACACTTGAACTGTGAAAATCAACTGTTAGGTGAAAATAAATCTATATAAGTATGCTTTGGATCGCAATTAGCATCGAATTATTATTAACCATCTAGAAATTAGGGTTTAGGAGGAACTTTATAGTGCTTGCTAATTGAAAAATATACACGAACACTAGCTTCTGTTGAAAACAGCATTTCCTCTTTGTGCAGGTGAAAACCATGAACCTCTAAGCTGGATTTTGAGGGTTTATATTGCTTTAGACGTAGCGAGGGGCTTGGAATATCTTCATGACGGGGTAATATTACTACTTATTCGGACCATACTTTAACCTGTCTACATGTATCTGTGGATTCTCGTGCGTGCATTTTGTGTTTTTTGAAAACATTTATAAATTTGTTCATGCTTCGGTTTCAGGCATCTCCTCCCATAATACACCGGGACGTTAAGTCTTCCAATATTCTGTTGGATCAGTCCATGAGAGGCAGGGTATGTTCATGCAGATTGTTATATGTACTATTGTCATAACACAAGCATGAGATTCTATTAAGATTCGATCTTAAGCAGGTAGCCGATTTCGGTCTTTCAAGGGAAGAGATGGTAGACAAACATGCGGCTAACATACGAGGAACATTTGGATATCTTGATCCAGAGTATATATCTACGAGGACCTTTACCAAGAAAAGTGATGTTTACAGCTACGGGGTATTGCTGTTTGAACTCATAGCAGGCAGAAATCCTTTACAGGGTCTCCTGGAATATGTTGAGCTAGTAAGATCTCTCTTTCACACCCTTTTAAAAGCTGAGTTCGTATCCATGGAATATAATAGTGATGTGACCAACAGGCAGCTATGAGTACCGAAGGGAAAGTCGGGTGGGAGGAAATCGTGGATTCACGATTGGATGGGAAATTTGACCTGCAAGAGCTCAACGAAATAGCAGCCCTCGCTTATAAATGTGTGAACCGTGTTCCAAAGAAACGACCTTCCATGAGGGACATCGTGCAAGTGCTAACGCGAATCCTTAAAACAAGACACAGCAAGAAACACCAGAAGTCCCAATCCGCAACTGCGGGTGAGGTTTCAGTCGACTTAGAGCAAGGAGAAACTAAGAATCAGATAACCGAACACCGGAGAGACGAGTCCATGGACAGTGCAGCTGACACCATTGAATTGTAACCCAGTGGTTCTTCCATTTGTTAAAAGGGCATTTGGGTTTGGTCTTTGTGTTCAGATGTGAAGGAGGGCATGCTTGTAGAATTTGAATTCTCGTTTGAGTTTTTTTTAGGGTAAAAAAGATTGTTTATAATTTGTTGTAACATACTTAGATTTTCCTCCTTCCATTTGCTGATCTAATTTTGTATATTAAACACTTTAGTAATGAAAGCATAGATAATCAAAGTTGAATCTTAAAATTATACATGAATTTTAGTAAAATAAGTAATATTATACATAAAATTTGATTTTGTACAATTATATATATATAAAAAATTATTTTGCTTTGGATTTTACAAACCACTGGAACTGTTACCAATTTAACATCATTTTATGTTTACATCACGCATACACGATAATTTTATAATTTTGAGATGTTTTTTTAATAATGAATTTAATTGGATTCCATTATTAAGCCCAAAGCCCATGACTTTATTTTTTCACCAAAAGTTAGTCTAAAAACTACGTCGTTTCCAACATCATCCATCTTTTATTACCCACAATTTCCACACACCATATTTATCGCCATCATCAAAACAGTAGCTCTCGACATTCAATTTACAGATCCGTTGAAGAAGGCGAAAATGGCAGCCATGGCTGCGTTGCAAAGCTCATTGACTGGTCTTTCGCTGTCCTCGAACTCCTTTTTGGGCCAACGTCTCTCAATTCCTCCTTCTTTCTCCCCTCTTCATGTAAATTCTCTTCCTTTTTTCCCTTTCAATTTTTCCATCAATTATTTTGCTCCCATCTTCACATTTTTCACTTCTTTGGAGGTTATACGGAAATGGATGATTCATAAATTTCACTCCTTTTGTAGTTTTTTGCCTTATACTTTTGTTGGCCAAATGTAAAGCAACTTGCTTTATTGTATTGGTGTTAAAAGGACCAAACTTTTGACATGTAAAAGCTATACAATTTACGAAGCTATTCCATTGTCTATGTTTTGTTTAGTGTTTTGGTTAACTGTGCATGTTCTATGCATTGTGCTTTGTCAGATTGATGAATGTTCTTCATGTGCTATACGGTTCACTGTTTTTGTTTCACGCAGATCAAGCCAAGCGAGAATCCCATGTCACACTGTAGTGAAGGTTGGTATTTCTGCCTCCTCATTTTCGTGCAATTCTTTTCATATTTTAACCGAAATTTCTGTGCTAGGAGGGAAAAACATGAACCATAGAAACAGTAAAGCAAATTAAACTTTTCATGGTGGAATTTTCAGAGGGAAGAATTTGGTCTTTCACTTACAGATACAGGGGATATACTTTCATATTAATTTTATATTTCCTTATCCGAATTTCGAATCTGTTCATGCTAGTAAATGCTTTGTTAGTTCAGCAGATGAACTTTGCATTCTTTTTGAAAAGAGTCTTATTTAGGAACTGCTAGTTTTTCCATGTCTAACATGTTTAGTAACTATTTCTTGGTTTCTTACCCCTTTATCTTGCACAGCTTAAACGATGGGAACGGAAGGAATGTAAACCGAATAGCCTTCCGGTTTTGCATAAATTGCATGTTAAGGTTGGGGACACCATTAAAGTAATCTCAGGCCGTGATAAGGGCAAGATTGGAGAGGTATCCAAGATCTTTAATCATAACAGCACCATTGTAGTGAAAGATATCAACTTGAAGACTAAGCATATGAAGAGCAGAGAAGAGGGTCAACCAGGACAGATAATTAAGGTCATGCTTTTGTTTCTTTTTCCTTCGTGGCATTGATCGGAATACGTTCTCTGCATTACTAATTCCGGGTTTATTTAGACTACGGTTATGATTACTAGAAACTGCAAGCTTACTTCCATTGCCTTCTTGTATGTAAGTATATGTTCACCTCATTTGCCTTTCTGTTGCACCGATCCACAGCTCAAATGTGATGCTCTATTCGAAAGAGAAAGAAGTGACCAGCCGGATGGGTCATAAAGTGTCGGATACTGGGAAAAAGGTCCGCTACCTCATAAAGACAGGAGAAATCATCGACAGTGATGAAAACCGGAAGCAACTGAAGGAAGCTGCGAAAGAGAAAACCGAAGTAGCCACCGCTGCTCCTACTGTTGATTCTACTGCCGCCTCTTAGAACCTAAGATATCATAATTTTGAAAACCAACGTGGCTTCTGAAATTCTTGATGTTCTTTATGTGTAGTTTTTCCATGTTTATGCGTCAATTACTTTAAAATATATTCAAAGATTGTCCATTCTTTTTTGCCAACAGAAAATTTCTCTGTTGATCAATGGTTATGTCTGTGTCCAACAGTAAATAAATACAATTATAATTAATTATTAATATAAATTACTAAATTAATAATTAAAATAAATTTAAACCAAATTTAAAATCCCATACGATAAGAGTTAAACGTAAACCTTGAAGTTGTCTTATTTGTTGTTGCGTCCCACATATTGCCATGGTACCATTACGGATTGGAGGCGACCAACTGGGATTAATCATAGCCGATTTGCAGGAAGAAGGGAGCTTTGATGAGGCTGTCAAGGGATGCGATGGTGTATTTCATGTGGCAGCTTCGATGGAATTCGATGCCAATACAGATGAGAATAATGGTAAATTCTGCATTTTATCTTCAAAGAATTTTCATTCACATTTCAACAGTTCACCCATCTAACAGAACATTTGATTTTTCAAGAATCATATGTTAGATCAAATATCATTGTGCCTGCAATCAAAGGCACTGAAAACCTCCTAAATTCTTGCTTAAGATCCAACACTGTGAAAAGGGTTGTTTTCACATCGTCCATAAGCACCATCACTGCCAAAGACAGTTATGGAAATTGGAGATCTGTTTTTGATAAATCTTGCCGGACCACATTTGTGCATGTCTTGAATGCAAAAGCAAGTGGATGGGTATAAAGCTTTCTGCCTCGTCTTCTAGTTCCTCCTGCAAATGAAAGTTATCTATATGTGTATATATATGTATATATTGCTGGCTCTCAACAGGTTTATGTCCTCTCGGAGCTTTTGACTGAAGAAGCAGCATTCAAGTTTGCAAATGCAAATGGTATTTATCTTGTTTCCGTTACTTTCCTCACGACGACCATTCCCTCTAGCATTCAAGTGCTCCTGTCTCCAGTCACAGGTTATCAGCAAAAGGGATCCATTTCATTTTCGAATTTATATATATATATATATATATGTAAATAACATCATTGAATAGAAACCTACATTTTGGTTTAACTTATGCAGGTGATCCCAAGTACTTCTCGATACTGTCTGCTGTAAAAGCTAGAATGGGGTCTGTTGTTTTAGTTCATATTGAAGATATATGCAGAACCCACATATTTCTGATGGAGCAAGCCAGAGCGGAAGGTAAATACATATGCTGCATCCGCAGCTGTCTGATGTCCGAAATGATTACTCGCCTTGTTCAAGAGAATCCAAGCTCAAATATTCAGAGGAACGTTGCCATCAATAATTTCAGAAAGATGAAATTTGGTAATCTGATATGTTTCCCTCTTTGGTTTTTCTATGGTTCCAGGTTGGAGGCAGAGGAAGAACGTTTGAAACATCCTGAGATTTCTTCATTTACAAGCATGAAATAGAAGATATAAACCATCAAACAATCATTGCATGTGTAGATTATGGATTTCTGCCCCATACCAGAAGGCGATATATTGTGTGCCCACTTTCCTACCATCCCAGTAATCAAAATTCAATCCAGTTATTAATGCATGCAACTACGCTAACCGAGTTTACCGAAACGTGAGCATGTCATGCGGCATTAACAGATTGAACGGCATCAGTTTCGGCGCCAAACTCGCCCTATATTCTTACACCAGACGTAGACTAACTGATGAAGGGTTGAGCAGTCTAAAACACTTAATGCTGACTGACTCATTTGCCTTCATGAAATGGGGAACTTGAGACATGGGCCAAAAAGAATAAATAAAAAGACAGGCTTATTTATTCATTTCTTGGACTATCCAATGGCTTGTAAAATTGTTGCAGAATGTACACATGAGCTAAAGCTTTAATGCAAAAGCTACTTCTTCAACTAACTCAACAAACTTTTTCCCTTTAATGGTCCAGTGTTGGTTATATAGATTATTCTATCCCACTTTGCTTGATTTGGGACCATTTTTAGGACAAATTCAATTTTCTTACCAACGCAATTTTGGTTGACAAAAGTAGCATCAAGAGGTATTATGAACTCACAAAACCCATATTGTCCTAAAGTTTAAAGTTCTGCAATTTTTATCCAGTTGAGCCTATTCATGCCATTGCAGTCAAAAAAAAGTATTAGGCACCGATGAGTCGAGGATATGACCTTCCAAAGATCCTCAAATTCATAACTCCGTCGAATACGTAGCCGTATTTGAGATTTATAGCTGAGTTCGAGTATCGAAAAGAATGGCTTCAACAATGGCTCAGGAAGGTGACAACACACTTGAAGAGTCTAAATCAGTTCTGAAAATGGAGGAAAATAAATATCTTTCATTTGAGTTCATCTGCTTCCAAACTACCCCCAATCCAATATTTAAGACATAAATGAATTGAATTCAATATCTAGAATTTATGTTTTATTCAGACAGGTGAAATGAGAAGGGGCTTACATTCATTTATGACATGCATGTGCCAGAGAGCCTTTAAAGGCTATACTGATGTTGCAACAAGGAAATGACATGTGATTAAAAATCATACTCGTATAGAAAAGCTGTAAAGATCCTTCTATTTACCCAGTGAAATTCATAGTTTGAAATTAAGAGAGGGAAAACAAAGAAGGGTTGTTTATTTTGTACCAGTTTTGAGATAAAAATGAAGAAGACAGAATTAAAGATGTCCATGCTAGTGTTTTCCAAGGTTTTTGCCTCTTGTTGGTAAGGACCACAAGCAAGTGGACACATTAGCACGTTCATTTGTATTTTTTTTCATTGTTTTTCTTACCAGACAACACGAAAACATGCTTAGAAGAGTCCCATGTTCTTAAATCACTATACCTTTATGAAATGAAATCAACATGACAATAATTAAACTTGTTCTCTAAGCAATCATGCAACTGGTTTGAATGCTTAATCAATGGTCAAATTATTTTGCCATGAATTTTATAAGTTATTTGATCTTTTAATGAAATCCTGGATTTGTCTTTTTGCATGTGCATATCTTCATCTCTTATCCAAATATTTGGACATTTTTCATCTACAGTTACAGTTTCTTGAACAAGAAAAAGAATCACATGAATCTGAGGTGCACAAACCAGACATATTAGGAATTAACAAGAATATTGCAACAAGAATGAGAATTCTTTCAAGAAAGGGATTCGCATAAACATCACAGATTCACAAATTCCAAGTTAAAAGCACTTGAGATTTGTTTCTTCAAGGCTTGCAGATTACCACAAAACAAGGAAGGAGAGCTCTAGGATTGAGCAGATAAAGTTCTTCGATGTTCGAATACAGACCAACTTTCCCGGCCAATGAGTCGAATCCGGTTTGGCCTGCCATTTCTTGTATGTTCTCCAAAGGTCTATGAACTCTCCCGGCTATTACTCTGCAAACTATCAAAGCTTTCCTTATAGATGGATCGTCTTCAACAACTCGAATCGACTCATAAGCTCTTCCACTTGTGGAAGTCGTGAAAACCCCAAGACCTTCCTTGAGTTCCTTCTTGGCGGAGAATCCGTTCATAATAATCCGACAGACACAACATTTTTCGGATATACAAAGACTCGAGGAGCCATTTAGACCGAGAGAACACGCCACGGTCGTGCCATAGAACCTCAACAGCTCGTTTCCATCAGCGATGCATCGAGAATGTTTCTTGGGGAGCTTGCTTGCTTTAACCTTCACCATGTCCCTATATTCCTCGAATCGAGCCAGGGTTTTCTGCATGTTGTGGACTTTCAGAACCCTTTCGATCCGGCCGCAATGGTTCTCGGACTTCAACCAATTCGTCCGGCATATGATTTCAACAATCTTCCTGGATGAGTCGCCTTCCACAAGCTCAGTAACTGCCAAAAAATGGGAGAATGTTTAACACTACAGATGATAATGAAAAATCAATTCCGAAACAAAAGCCCCACAATGAACAATCAACTTGAATTATTTGCAGCAAAACAAACTATGAAAATGGTATCTAGGAAATATGTTAAAAAGTAAAGGAAAAGGCTTGGATTGTTCATTGGTAAAGGTAAAATCTTGGAATGTTCATTTCAAAAAGGGGAAAAAGACTAAATTTTGTGGTGAGAGGAAAGTGAGTGATTTTAAGTACCCAGAAGATAAGAAAACAATGGAGGAAAAGCAAAGTCCAAAAATTTCAATAAATGGAAAGACTGTATTTTTAAAGAAATTCAACCAAAAAAATTACCAGCATGCTTGGAGAGATGGTGAGTTTCAGCAGCTTCGGATTTGGTAAATTGCTCTCCACATTTGTGACAAATGATTATAGAACATCCGTTGGAGTCTGTCTCGAGTGGAACCCTATTGCTTGAATGGACATTGCCTCCTCCAAAACCAGAACTTTTCCTTCCAGATAAAAGGAAAGGTGATTTCCTGGTATTTGTAGCAGATGAATTCTTAAAATAATGCATTGTTGGGTGGCCACCAGGACCTGGTGTTCCAGGCCTTAAGGTACCAACAAAAGTTGAACCGCCGCCACCACCATTGGAATCACTATTGCCACCACCATTGCTGACACCATCTTGGAACCCTCCAATGCCAGTGATTTTCAGCTCACACCTTGAGTTACTGAGAATAACTTCATGGGTTATGGGGTTAAGAAACTCACTGCTACCAATGGATCTCGGACTGCAACTCGGTGGCTTCTCTAGATGTCTCTTGCTTCCATGGATTACATCTTTCAGATTTGCTATGGACCTTGAACACCCTGACCTGCCTGCTTTTCTCGTCAATATTGTACTCAATTGCTTCCTGGTTTTTGGGTCATGAACATCTGATGGCTCTGATTTACAGTGTAAAGATCTCTTCAAAGAAAACCAAACTGTTGGCATATTTCTTCTTCTTCGAAAATGAACCAGCAAAATTCAAAAAAGATTCAACCTTGCTCTTCTTCAGCAATTATGATATTCGTTTTCCATTTCTCCACCATTAGTACTACTTTTGCCATGAAATCTGGGTTTTCTAGCTCTGTATTTTACTCCATTTCCCAGCAGTTTCCTTTCCATATTTGGGACCATATGAACTCAGCAGCTGAATCATATCCTGTAGAAGAAAAAAATCATAAAAGAAAGAACCGCAACCCAACACCCAGGATTTTTTTAAAAATAAAATAAAGAAATCAAACTAAGAACTTAAATGTAGTAGCATGCTGCTGTACGACAGTTCTTACATGAAAAGCTCAGCTCAGCACTAACCATCAGCCAACAAAAATATGTTTTTCAGCCTTGTCTGATTAAATAAAAATCAATGATAAATTGATCACTAGGACAATAGTTTATATAAATAAATAATACGATTTAAATTTATAAGATAAATGAATGTATCAAATAATTTTAGTAATAAAAAATAATATTTTTTAAAAAAAATTGAGAACGATCAATTGTATCGGTGTATATAAATTATCAATTAGTTAAAATTATTTTAAATATATATTATATTATAATCATCATACTATTTAATTTTTTTAATAAAATTAATATTGAATGTAATAATAATTTTTAAAAATTGATATTAATTCTTTAAAGAAATGTGACGATAAATAATTTATAACATTAACATTTTCCAATATAAATATCTCTCGAGTGACACAATTATTCCCAAGGAAGCGGTCAATTTGAAAATTTCAAGGTTTCTAATGTGGCCCCTAATTTAAATGCAAAACTAGTGGTGTTCCGGTTCTACTATACGTCCCGTGAGTCATTTGTAAAAATAGATAACATCTTTCATAAAATGTAATATGTAAAGATGATGTAATAACTTTGCTACGTAATTAAATTATATTGTTTCTTACCAATCAAGTCCTTGTCAAAATATACCTTTGGTCCCCAAAAATCATACCATAGTGTAAATAAGACAAGCTTCATGCCATTATATGTATATTATCCATAGAATAATTAATTTCCATTACTATTGCTTGTGTATTTTTGTTATGATAAATTATGCCTTTTTATATTATTTAAATATACTACAACTTATAATCTTTTAAAAAAATATTAACTGAATTAAAATTTTGAGTATAAAAAATACTATTAATTTTTAAAAATATTTGACTACTTGAGACGTGTATCTTACAAAATTTACTCTTACGATGAAAATCATATTTATTTTAATGATTACATTTGGATAGTAATTTTAATTTTGGTTGAAATATCAAATTATTATTTAAATTTGTATCCTAAAATTAAGGGTTAAAGAGGAACAATAATGAAGCTGAGTGGAGTGTTTAGAGAGAGAAAGAGAGAGTAAACTGATAATTAGGTTTGGACAGACAATGGAACACTAATCTCAATGCAACTTTTCAAAAACACACACAAACTAATGAACAACCGTAAAACAAGAAAGTTGTGAAAAAGAGGTGACCCCCAAAAAAAATATTTTTGGGTAAACTACAAGTCTACACCCCCAATGTAATCTAGTTATAAGTTTGGTTATAAACAAATAACTTTTTTAAATATTATATAAATAAGTTTTTTGAATAATATATAATTTATATAAATGAGTATATTCTTAAAATTAAAATAAATGTTTAGTGTGCCCTGGTATAATAATATTTTTAATTCTCAAAATTTATATATGTTAATTAATTTTATCTTAATTTGAAATAACTTTGATATTTTATATTTAAAAATTACATCAATTTAGTCTTTTTTTTACGATATTGTCAAAGAAAACGAGTAATTAAATCAAAAACAGTTAAATAACTACATTTTGTCATAAAGCAACAAAAAAATTATTGTTAAACTATTTTTATACCAAGAAAATAATGTAACACTTATGAGAGAATAATAAACAATTTAAGAGAAGAATATGAATTAAAATGATGAAGCTTTACAATATTAAGGATTGAGTTTATTAAAATATTTCAAATTATGATCATATTGATAGATTGTAGAAGTTTTAAAAATTAAAACTATTATTATATTAAACAGTCGTTATTTCTTTCTCATATTTAATAGCCAGTGATTTATTTATGATAATATTTTAATTAAATGGTATGCATATAACTTTCTTAAAAAATAATATATTTATTATCAAATTTATAATTAAACGATCTTAAATATAATTTACTCTTCTTCCTTTCTTTTTTTATTTATCTTATTGTTGTACTAAAGAGACATACAAAGAGAATTTATTAAGTAATTTTAATGATTAAAAAGAGTGTTGATTGTTCTTTCTTAAAGTTATGTGTTCGAGCAGATGCTTTTGTAGAGTTTATATACTTTATCAATAATTAAATAAGATTATAAACAATTATTACCTTTTAATCGTCAAGTTATTAAAAAACATACAAAGAGGTGATATTCCCAACTTTTACGTCCACTTGTTGATGAGTTTTTGTGTTTATTTAAAAGTATATATAAATAAACAAGTAATAGTATCCAAGCAATTGGGGATAGTGCTCACTGCTCAGTGGTGTTTATGAACCAATTTAATGCTAGCACATGCCATTATGAAGTTTCAAGTTTTCCCTACCGAACTGCATTTACTTTTAAAAATAATCATTCAAAAAATTACACCAAATTCTATATTCATATGTAGAGTTTAAATATACAACGTTGACGAACTATAAAAAATAATAAAATGGGTTTTGTTTCACATCAAACATAAATTATTAAAAAAACAATGCATCCTATTTAAATTAAATTTAAAAATTACACGAACAAAACATCTCGGTAGTAAATAAATTATTATTGTTCTTTGAAGTATTAGATTTGAGTATTATGAATGTCAAATAGTTGAAAATTATTTTAATGGATATTGCTTTGTATTTATCTCAAATTAATAAAAATTAAATTTATAAATTCAAATTTAAATGAAATTCAATAATCTTACTATTTGAAGTTGTTTAAATTAAACGACAAATACAATTAAATCGGTTAATTCATTTTCTTACATTTAATCGATCAAATCTAACAATATTTAAATCGATTTAATCAGTTAATTAACTTGTAAATTTTAATATCATACTATTGCACAATGGGTTAAAGCAAAAGACATTATACCAATTTGCTGGATTTTGAGGCCCAGAATAGTAAGAGCCATTGGTCTTTGGATTAAGTTATAGGATTGACATTTGATCCAAGTCTGATGAAAACCGATTCGATTTGATCGGTATTCATTTGATCCAATGTATGACACAAAGCTGAATCAAAATGTTTTCTGTATTCATCAGGATTGTGGTGGCGGTTGGCTTTCCGGCGCTGGTGATGGGAATGCTAGAGATTTCCAAATCAAAAGGGTCATGCCAGCAGCTTTTGCATCGCCATTTTCTACTTGTTGGAGGAATATTGTGCTTTGTTCATGGGATTTTAAGTGTTGGATTATATGTTTCTGCAAATTTAAGCTTTGAAAAGGAAGGAGATCCTTAAATAAAGAGTGTTCATCCATAATATGTATCAAAACACCGTTATATGTTCAATTAAATCTCTCTTCAAAATTGTTAATTTTTATTAAAACCTCTCAAAATTTTAAAAAGTTTTAATTAAACTCTCGTATTCATATATTTTAAAAAAAAATCTTATTTGGTCCTTCAATTTTTAATTTTTTTATTAGACCCCAAATATACCTCCACTTATCACAAACTCATCTAAAATTCGGCCGAAAACCCGATCGGGAGCTCATTTTCTGACTTGAGAAAGTCGGGTTTAATAATATTCTGATGTTATACAATGCGTTAGGTAATAAAAGTGTAAATTAAGTTTGAGTTTTAAAATTTAGGGTATACTACACGGGAGACCACTAATTATGGTAAAAAATCAATATAATCACCGAACTTTCAATTGAATCAATCAGACCATCCAATTATTTAATTAATTCAATCAAACCACCGGTCATTAATTTTTAACATAGGTGGTGACGTGTCCGTTAAGCTTAATTGACATAATTATATATTTGATCCTTAATATTTACATATTCTATCAATTTAGTCACTATTTTAATTCAATTAAATAAATTTAACTATCCAATTAGAATGTGACACGTGTCAATATATAATTGAAACGTTTATTTATGAATTTTAAATTATTTAATTAAATAATTTTTTTATCCAATGGAAGTGAAAATTAAAGGTACGAATTGGAGGGATAAAGTAGGCGCCCAAACGATTGGGCCAAAGGTCCCTATGGTTTAAAGTTACAACAATTTGTATTTGTCTTTCAAAGGTTTGTTAAAGATAAAAAATTAAACAAATTATTATTTAAATTAATTGTAAATTGTTTTTTTAATTAAAAATATTCAATTTATATATAAATTAGAAAATTTTTTAAAAAAATTGTTAATTCAAAAATTGACTGAATTAACCGAATTTTGTTCTGTTCGGTTAATAATTTTAAAATAAATTTCGGTTCGATTAATGATTAAAGGAAAAAAATTTGGTTAAATCGGTTCGGTTAACAATTTTCAAATTAATTCGGTTCGGTTAATAATTTTCAAATAAATTTTGGTTCGATTAACTGAACCGAATTAACAAAATTTTTGCTTCTATTAATTTGATTAATAATTTAAAAAATTGGTTAATTAGGTTCGATTAATAATTTTCAAATAAATTTTAGTTCGATTAACCGAACCGAATTAATTGAATTTTTCTTCCATTAATTCGATTAATAATTTTCAAAAAAATTTGGTTAATTCAGTTCAGTTAATAATTTTCAAATTAATTCAGTTTTGTTGATAATTTTCAAATAAATTTTGGTTCGATTAACCAAACCGAATTAACTGATTTTTTTAAATAATTATTAGTCGTGAATAATTTATATAATTTTTTTAATAATTTGTTTAATTTTGTATCCTTAACAAACCTTTAAAAGACAAATACAAATTATTGTAAATTTAAATCATTAAGAACCTTTGGCCCAATGGTTTGGGCGCCTAAAAAATAGCGGCTGGTGGTTTATTGAATCAATTAAATAGTTGAGTGAACTGAATTATTTAATTAAAAGTTAAGTGGTCATATTGATTTTTAGCTATATTTTAGTGGTCTCTCGTGTAGTTTACCCTCAAATTAAAGACTCAATATCGTTTTTTTTTTAATTTTTAATATATTATATTATTTATACAATATATATCACATAAAAATTGAACTTATGAAAAACATGTTAAATTAATCATGTATAAAAAGTCAAAATAAATTTTGATAAAAAGGAAACTTTTATAAAATTATTAAATTTAAAATCTAAGATATAATAAAATATTTCTTAAAAAATATGGTATAATTGATCTTGAGTAGCTTTGAAAACTGTTTTTAAAAGACTTGGAGGTTTTAAAACTACCATTTAAGACGAAAATATTTGGGTAAAATACACAAATAGCTTATAATTATAAGGTACTATTTTATTGAGGGTTAGTCTAAATATACCAAATCTATTACTAAATCTACCATTTTTTTATCATTATGTTTTTCTATTTTTTTTATTAAAGTTTTTTAGGTAGGTGTAATGATTATCTTTTTATTTTTTATTAAAATTTTCTTCAACATGGTAATAATTGTTTGGAATTATTTTCTCTGATCCGTTTGATTTTTCAGTATGTTGTTCGTGTTGGACTTGCGCAACTTTTTACCGTTCGAAACGTTGATCATAGATCCCGATCTCCATAAAGACCCCAAAAACCGTTCAAATTTATTTTCTTCGATCCGCCGATGTCCACCGTACTATCGTCCTGATTTTTCAGTATGTTGTTCGTGTTGACCTTGCGCAATTTTTCACCGTTCAGAACGTTGATCAGAGATCCCGATCGCCGGCGAAAATCCTACAAAATACATGAAATGTTTTTTTTTCTTTTCAATTCTTCTCTCTCATGTATGCTCCTCCTTCTCTTTGATTTTTATGATGGATTTTAACATAATGTAGCTGATGCTTTAAAATAATAGGTAGTGAGGTTTGATTCGGTAAGTTTAGTAAAATGGAGGTTGACTTGGTAAGTTTAGTAGAATGAAGGTTGACTTGGTAACTTTAGTAGTACCCATTATTAAGTCTCGTAACTATTAAAAATTATAAAATAGTCTTACCACTGTAGGAAGATGATTTGTTGAGTCCTCCTATCATTAAAAGTTACAACTTGGTCACCCGACTATTTATATGTTCCAACATCGTCTTTTTCTATTAAACTATTTATATGATAAAATTTTATCTCGTAATCATTTGAGTTGTATTTTGTGAATCAGCTCTCCATTTAGATAATGTCGTCGAGCCAACGCTTGAAATACTATATTGTCGAGGTAGTACTTTAAAGCAATGACGGTGTCACTATACATTATTAAAATATGATTTTATTATATCTCAATCAATAAGTCAATGTCCAACTCAGACGATCGTTAAATTTTCAATAGTCAGATGATCATTTGATATTTTTTAATAATCGATGAACTTAACAAAATAACATCCTATAATCAGATAATTATTTATGTACTTTACCAAAATAATATTATTTTAAATCCAATTTTATTTTGATCTAACTCTATCTTTCACAAGTCCATTCATACTCTTTATTTTTAAAAATACCCTTACAATATTATCAAATATAGGTTTTTTTATTATGTAGAGAGTTATTATATTTCTAAGACATATATCATGATTTAAAATTTTGAATTCACACAAAGTGGAACAACATAAACATCTTCAATGACTTAACCAATTAAATGATTTTATTTGAAATCCTTATCCCAATAAAATTTTCCCGCCTCAAATATAACTTACCCGAAAGCCTAAAATAGTGGTGGGAGCGGTGTGCAGTTCAAATCTAAGCCGTTTGTTTTATCACCATCCAACGGATCACATTATTGATCCGTGTCTTCTCTTTGCACTGGCTAGTTACTTTACGATCTCTCCAATATATATACTCAAAACAACCCGCAATTCTCATACTGATATATTTATTTCTTGTTCCCACGTTACTAGAGGCGTTTATTTACATTATTTTCCGTTGCGAGTCTAAAAATGGCTGGTCGGGGCAAAACTCTCGGATCCGGAGCGTCGAAGAAGGCAACATCGAGGAGTAGTAAGGCCGGTCTTCAGTTCCCGGTGGGTCGTATTGCTCGGTTCCTGAAAGCTGGGAAATATGCTGAACGGGTTGGAGCTGGAGCTCCGGTCTACCTCGCCGCCGTTCTTGAGTATCTTGCCGCCGAGGTTCAACAACTTCTTGTTCTTTTTTTATTTATTTTGGTTTTTGTCGAATTATTGTTGTCGATCGTTTATTTTTTCAAAAGAATATGCTTATTTTTCTTTGTAATATAATATAGGGTTTTCAATTTCCCCCTTTACTAGTGTATTTTCCCCCCTTCAAAATTCGCTTTTAATGTCAAGTTTCATGGGTATTTTCTAAATTAGGGTTCGTTTCCCCTAAATGTTTAGTATTGTTTATATGATTTCTGTTTCCCTCCTAACAATTCGATATCTTAATCCCCTTAAATTGTTCTATTCTCTATGGAGACGACATAACAATGATTGAAAATTCCGCCAATGATAGAAATTTGTTAATTTTAGTGGAAACCTTTTGTATCTAATTTCAGGTTCTTGAGCTTGCCGGAAACGCTGCCAGGGATAACAAGAAAACCCGAATAGTGCCACGTCATATCCAGCTTGCAGTAAGGAACGATGAAGAGCTGAGCAAACTGCTCGGAGATGTGACCATCGCTAACGGCGGTGTAATGCCCAACATTCATAGCCTTCTCCTCCCAAAGAAAGCTGGATCCTCCAAGGCATCCGGTGGCGATGGCGATTAGATTAGCTTCTTGAAGCTAGAATCAAATGACATCTTCTCTGTTCTGTCTTAAATCCAATATGAGATCGGACATTCTCGGAGTTTTTTATTGTTGCTCTATTAGTTTTTTTTAGGTGTTTTGATGTCTTCTTCTTAGGGAAATTTAGCTTGTTGACAGTGTTTTAGCTGAATAGGTAGTTTTAGTTTAAAATGTGAATATAATCGATCGTCCATCTTCTTGCTCCACTTGCTATCTTCTTTTCCTGTTTCATTAATAACATGTTTTGCAACATTCCAGTAATTATGTTGGGGAAGGACCCTTATGAACAAATCCTCTATTTCAGGGGCACATTGTAGTAATGTAATTCGGAAAAGATTATTGATTAATTATTCTTTTCGAGAACTAAGTACACTTTTATGATCCATCGGGCAATACTGATTCTCAGCTTCATCAGTGCTCTTAGATTCCTCTATCAACAAGCGGGCACCATCTTTTGAGTCTGGCTCAGGGGATGATGCCTGTGCTCATTGAGCTAAACTGAGGCCATCTGTCTGGGATTAAGTTACAACCAACCCTCAATAATTCAGTTGTGTGGAATTCAAGTTGTGATACGTACTTGCTATGTTAAGCTTGTAATATTTTTATTCGAGTATAGTTTTGAATTTTTGTTGGGTTGAGTCAGCAATACTTGAGCTTTAACTTGCCTCATTTATAGTCCTATTTATAACTTATAAGATAGTTTCGTTGTCTTTATGATATTTGAAAATGATAGACATCTATATCGTAGGATATAACTACTACTTGTTATAGCAACATAACTTCAGTGAACACATCAAGCTCAATATTTACGGATTTTTGAAAGAAAAATTGCTAAGTAAACATAAAGAAATGAGAAGGTAGTAAACAAAGAGGGGTCCAATCTGTTTAGACATTACACTTCGCCTATATCATGCAAGTGCACCTCCAATTTAAATTGAGATTAGATTACATCCCTCAACGTTTGTACACGAGAGTCTTTTGGTTTGCACGTTTATTAACCAACAAATTAGTTATTGCTTATTAATACCTTTTACACTTTATACTCTTCTCATGTGAGAGGAAAGTATTTTAAGCCATCAAAATTTATTCAGCAACATTTGCATATAGTTGACTTTAAATATCAATTTGTCATTCATTACTTAATTATTTTGGACATATTATACATAGTCTCATGAAATAAAATACGAAACTATACTATGATTATTTAATTCTCTAATTTTATCAATAAATAGTTCGCATTGAAATTTAAAAAATCCATTATTTTTCAACAATCCATTTTATTCCTCCCTTCATAACAATGTTACTATCACAGAAGAGTTCTTTGAAACATGAGGCTGGTCATTAAATTCTGAATAACGTAACTTTCATGATTAATATTGTAGTGTTAATTTCCACCAAGTTATGGTGTTGTTATTGTATGTTGAAATTTAGTACCGAGACATATATACGTGCCCTCGTGAGAGCACTTTTCCGCCAGATAAGACGTCCCATCCAATGAAATTGAAACGAATATCTTCCTTTCACACACCTTTGCATCATTTCATAGTCTAGATATTTGGGGTTGTAAGATGTATGTGTGAATATACGACAATAATTTATTTATTTTGAAAGGGTCTATGAATTAATACGAAGAACAATACAAAGTCTAAAATTAAACAAAAGGTCCAACAATCTATCAATAGGTCTCATGAAATTATTAGCACTTCTAAGGACTACTTGCTTGAACTTCAAGTCTACACAGTTTGATCCACATTCCACTCCTGTTTTAGTACCACCATGTTTCGCCTTTAACTTTTCATCCAACAAAAGGTTAAGCCCCAAGGTTGTATGCTTCCACCATAAGATTTCCACTCTAAATTATTGTCAGAATTACATTAACAAAAGAACTTCATAATCTAACATTAGTTCTTTTATATATATAAATTACATCATTAACCATCAATATATTGTTTATTTTTTTTATTTTGATCATTAAATTAGTTTTTAATAAAAATATCATGAATTTTATACAAACAATTTATCTAACATTCTGTTTCTTTACACTTCTAACTCTTTTTCCCATTAAGATTTTGAATCGGATAGCTTATTGTCTTACCTGTGAAACTAAGCAAAAAGACCACAATTGATTGGTTTCAAAAAGACCAAGCTTATGCAGGGGCAAATACACGGTTTTATATTAAGGGGAGAACTTATAAATGTACACATAAAATTTTAAGAAATGCGAAAACAAATTTTTACTAAAGAATATAAAAATTTATCTGAAATATATAAAGTTTTAAAATTTTCGAGTGATGATTTTCCATGTAAAAAAAAACCCCGAAAACAAAGGATTTAATAAGCTGCAGTTATAAAATTATGACATATTTATTTGAAATACATGATGGTCCCATTATAATTTTGAGAAAAAATATGGATGCAATGATTTCTATACTAATATTTTTTTCTTATGTGAAAAATTATAACTTATCCGTATACTCAATTATATAAATTATTATTTTTTTAAAATGGTAGTACATTATTAAGCGAAGGGGAATCTGACAAATGGCGCCTTAGTCTTATAATGATTTGGTTAAACTACACTCCAAAGACCCTACAACTCAATACAAAGGTATTTATTTAATATTTTTGGACGGTTGGGAGTTATTAGATTCAATTATGTTAATAATCATTTTCCTATACATCAACTTTAATTCAGTTGATAAATATAAAATTAAATATATTTACACGTTCAATATATTTTAATTTACAAATTAATAAATATTCAAAAGATATTAAATAATACAATACGTTTTAGTTGGTATAACACCATCCAAAATTAGTTTCAATGATGGACATTCGGCGATTGGGTTATTTTCAATGTACTATTCCTATACCTTGAAAATAAAATAAAGTAATTAGATTAATCATCTGCCACGTGCTCAAAAAGGGCACCCCAGACACATTGGCCAGACATAACATCCAAGATTAAAATTGAGTTTACTTGATCTTTATTATCTTAATCAATTAATTAGTAAACACACAATTTTGTGGGATAAATTATTGATTAAGCCAAAGTACCGACGGACAAGAACCTTACATGGAAGACAAAAGAAAATGGTTTGCTATCAATACTTGAGAATTATTATAATAACTAAACTTGAGAATTAAATTTAAAAAAGCAATAATTTGAGGGGTTTTATAATAAATAAAAAATGTATTTTAATTAGGTGATCATCGACTTTAATTTCTTAGTGTACCAAACTATATATTACTTGGCAATTGTATATCAATTCCTTCACACCTAACGGATTAATTTATTTAGTTAATGTTTTTTTCCACTATGCATTTAATCAAGAAGCAAGAAGAAAAATAGAAATTTCCATGCTTAATAATACCTTGCATCATCTTCAAGTTAAAGCAGAAAATATCAGAGAAGAGTTCCTTTTTGCTTGGCAAAGAGGCAATTCCATACCATAAAGTCAAAATTCTACCTAAATTTAATATTAACTTATCAACTTTGCTCGCATGCAAAACCCTAGCTTTGTTGCTCTTGGTTTTCAGTTCATACACATCGTCAAACTTATTAAAAGCATTTGATTTCTACGTTGGAATTATATTGAAATTGACGAAAATAAATTTAAACTTGAGAAATTGATTAAAATAGATTTATAATTTATTATTATTACAAATAATTACAAATAATTTCTCTTAATATTTAATCTTAATTGTATATATATATATATATATTATTTTCATGGAAAGTGAGTTAATGCAACACGCTTGATATAAAAAAGAAAAGACATGGCTGAAGAAGAAGCCTCCTCTAAGAAGACAAATAAAAAAGAAGTTGAAAGGACCACTGGAATTACTCTATATACCAACTTCTTAAAGGGATATGCCAACCATCTTTACCCCATGGAAACTCTATTTTTTTAATTAAAATATTTTAATTTTAATTTTAAAATTTTGATAATTTTTTATAACCAAATTGTTAATGACAGTCATTTCTTTTCTTTTTCTTCAGGAAATCACCAACTACTTCCGTCGTCGTTAAATATATGTTAAAATACAATATTTTTACGGTTGAAAAATTAATATTTAATCAATGTGTGATTTGTAGTATTGAATCTCATATTGGTTAGATATATTTAAGCAGTTAGAAATCTAGTATTTAATCAACGTTGATTTGTTTTACTGAATCTCATATTGATTTTCTGAAATGCTCAAATATAGTTTTTTATCATATATTCTAAACACATACTATAATATAATCATTCATACTATTATATATATATATATATATCCCAAACCTCAATGAAATACTCTCAAATTTTAAACACATTATTTTATATTATAAATCTTTGAGACCATCCAACAATTATTTTCTTTTTTTTAATTATTACGTTATAATAATTCAATCATATATATATAAGCATATCTCTTTAGAATATTAGTTAATATTGTTATACCTAATCATGCATATAAGTGTAAATAAAGGAATCAATAATATAGGTTGGTAATTTATTTTAATTTTATTTGAAGTGGTCGTTGAAAAGCTTTATGCATAATTTTTGGTTGATACGTACAGTTAGGTCCCGATCACAACTAATTTTGTATCGTCCATTTTAGCTTAAGTCTTAGGTTTTCTATTACCCTGTTTTTACCAGCAACCAACTCACAAAAATGTTATTTAACTTTTTAAATTTATTTATTATTATATTATTATTTTCTATAATTTTATTAAAAATATATTAATAAAATTATGAAGAAAAAATAATCGGAAACCGCCAATCGATCTGAAAAAGTCACAAACATATAAATTACATATCGAAATTCATAGAAATTATGTCCAAATAGAAGTAATACATACACCACGTGATATAGGCACAATGGCACATTTGAAAACAAATTTACGACACACAATTTTTGTATTTATTTATTTATTTATTAAATTTATGTGAATTTTCATTTTGATCTTATTTTTTCTTCTTATTTTAGTTCTTATTTTTTGTCAGTTTTGATTTTCTAATTAAAAATAAATCAAAATAACTAACAACGGTTAATAATTTTATTAAAATCCGCTGACGACTTTAAAAATCAATGTATATTACATCTTAAATCCCTCAATAACATTTTTAAGATTCAGTATATTTCTATAATTTTGCGGTGCATTTATTTAAAATTTTTAAGCGGACTTTTTCATAATCTCAAACCTATCAATATCATAATGTAA